GTGCACTGGAGAAGAATGTATATTGTGCTGCTGTTGGGTGAAGTGCTCTATAGATGTCTATAAGGCCAAGTTGGTGGATTGTATTGTGTAGCTCTTCTGCATCTTTGTTGAGTTTCTTTCCAGTTGTTCTATCTTTGTTTGACACATTTCTTACTCTCACTTTAACTTACTCTATGAAAAATTTACTTTTTTCCCTAGTCTTCAGAAACAGAGTAACATTATTTTAATAGGAAGGAGGAAACTATAACTTAGGCCTAATCCAGAACAGAAATGTATTATTTTTAAAAATGTAGTTATTGTTGTTTTGGGCCCATTTTCTTTGTTTCATGTGTGAAGAAGGAAAAAGAAAAGAAAAAGACCTGGTATTATATAAAACCAAACTCTTTCTCATTGAGTCAGTTCTTACTCATAGGGCCCCATGGAACAGAAGAGAACTGCCCCATTGGGTTTCCAGGCTGTAATTTTTATGGAAGCAGATTACCAGGTCTTTTTTTGTGGAGCCACTGGTGGGTTCAAACTGCCAACCTTTTGGTTAGCAGCCATGAATTTAACCAGTGCACTACCAGGGCTTCTTGTGGTATTATACATGTCTTGGTATTTTTATTGTGTTCATTTTTAACATTTTTGTCTTTAATAAGGGACTTGCAACAAAGCATTGCCAGAGAACCCAGTGCTCCTTCAATTCCTACACCTGCATATCAGTCCTCTCCAGCAGGGGGACATGCGCCAACTCCTCCAACTCCAGCGCCAAGAACCATGCCGGTTAGTAAGCAAATAAATGTTCAAAATGCAAATTTTACGTTAGTGACAGCTTACTTTCTCTAAGGATACAGCAGACTTCTGTGGTGGAAAGATCTGGTGGTTACCACCTTTATCAAGCAACCAGTCTTCTCATTACTAACATTAAGTGCTTTGAAATGTTTTGCCACATGAAGACCACCACGGCATCACCCACAAATTCCTGTCAAAAAATGTTTAAACTGAATGTAATCAAGCCTTTAAAGATTTCATTTTTCATCAAGTTCAGTGATAAAAGTTAAACAGTGCCATTGAGAAATAATCGGACAAATCTGTGTGCCACCTGGCTTGGTGTTCATTGTGATAAATGGGGAAACTTGAATGTGGAGTGGTTACTCAGTGATAATAAGGAGTAATTGTTAATTTTATGGCAAAAATGGTCTTGTGTTTATATAGGAGAATATCCTTATTTTTAGGATTTGTGTGCTGAAGTCTTTAGGGCTAGTGTCATTAAGTCTGCAACTTATTTTCAAATGGTTCTGCAAATATAAGGTAGATAACTATATGGATATAAGTAGATAAAGCAAATATGGCAGAATGTTAAGTACTAAATTTAATTGGTAGATATTAAGTTTTTAGGTATTTGAAATTTTTCATATAGAAAGTTTGGTGGGGAGGGGTTACCCAACCATTGTGGGAGCAGTAATAAGCAGTAAGGGATTAAATATTAGGCATAAGAAAAAGAGCAGTGGCTGTGGATTATTTGCACATTGGAGAATTATGTCTCAACTATGATAAATTTCTAGAGCAAGCCAACATTTAAGAATGGGAATTAGAAATAATTAGGTTGCATTCTTGAGTTCCTCCTATGTCCTCATTTATTTTAATTAATAGCAATTTGAGAGAAACATGAAACATTTTGTGGTAAATGCTGCCTTTTTCTTACAGCCTGCTAAGCCCCAGCCCCCAGCTCGGCCTCCACCTCCTGTGCTTCCTGCAAATCGAACTCCTTCTGCCACTGCTCCAGCTCCAGCTCCGGCTCCGGCTCCGGCGACTACTGGGATCACTGCATCAGCTCCATCACAGACCCCTGGGTCAGCTCCCCCTCCCCAGGCCCAGGGTCCCCCCTATCCAACCTATCCAGGATATCCCGGGTAAGGCTTAAAGCATTGTATGATCCAGTTATTTGGATTTGGCCAATGTTGTTTCTTGCTCTGGTTAATCTTTTAAAACAAGATTATCTCCTCCTTAAATGGAGGTGTCATGAATGAATGTGAGTAAGCTAAATTGTCTGCTTATCCAGAAATACATGTTATAGTTGCTTATTTAGGAGCTCTGGTAGCATAGTGCCTAAAGGCACTTAACTGCTAACCAGAAGGCTGGCGGTCCAAACCCACCAGCCATTCCTCGGAAGGAAGATGGGCCAATCTACTTCCGTAGTGATACTGCTTCGGAAACCCAAGGAAGGGTCGCTATGAGTAGGGTCCGCCTCGACAGCACATAACAACAACAACAGTTGCTTATTTAAGTAGTTGAGTAACCATTTCCCAGGCTTTAAAATTTTATTTAATAGTTTTTTTTTATTTTGACACATAGGCTTATATTAAACCCATCTCTTACGTATAGAATTCAGTATGTAATTCCTTAGTTGTCGATTCTAGGTTGTTTTTCTGAACATAGTGTAGCAAGACTGATGAAATCCTGTTTGTTGTTGTTGTTGTTGTTAAGTGCCGTCGAGTCGTTTCCGACTCATAGCGACCCCATGCACAGCAGAACGAAACACTGCCCGATCCCATGCCAGCCCCACAATCCCTGCTATACTTGATCCCATCATCGCAGCCACCGTGTCAATCCATCTCGTTGAAGGCCTCCCCCTCTTTCGTCAACCCTCCACCCTACCAAGCATGACATCCTTCTCCAGGGAATGGTCCCTTCTTACAACATGACCAAAATAGGTGAGACGAAGTCTGGCCGTTCTTGCTTCCAAGGAGCATTCTGGCTGCACTTCCTCCAGGACAGATCTGTTAGTTCTTTTAGCAGTCCATGGTACTTTCAGCATTCTTCGCCAGCACCACAACTCAAAAGCATCAACTCTTCTTCGGTCTTCCTTATTCATTGTCCAGCTGAAATCCTGTTTATATATCTGTATTTTGAAATCTTGGTATTCTGATAAATTGCTTAACAGAAATTTATCTAAAGGTGGAAATACGCCTTTTCAAAGATTAACTTTCTTTGTGGTGTTTTCCCCCCCATTCTTAATAAATGCTTTACTACCTTTTAAGATGTACCAAACATTCTGTCTTTCAAATATTTGAGTTTTATAAACAGTAAAATTTTTGTACATTACAGTGAATCTTATGGATAAGGAAATATATTTATTACTTTTACCACTTTAAAATGAAGAATTTCCATTTTTGTTTCTTGCAAATTCATAGATAAATATGTATTTACAGTTAATAGTTAAATGGTTAGTTTTACTTCTTTTAACAATACTATTTTCTGGATGGTATTAAATACTTGATATGCTTTTATTTTAATTAGTAACAGTATAGGATTACTCTTCTTAGTAGTTACCTTGAAACAGCTCTTTTTTCTCTTACCGTAGACTATAAAATAAAGAATGGCTTTCTTTAAAAAAATTGGTTTTAGAATAAGTATGCTTCATTTTCTAGCATTTGATTTACAATACAGATTTTCTTTTTCTCTTTTCCCCATCAGGTATTGCCAAATGCCCATGCCTATGGGCTATAATCCTTATGCGTACGGCCAGTATAATATGCCGTATCCTCCAGTATATCACCAGAGCCCTGGACAGGCTCCCTACCCGGGACCCCAGCAGCCTTCATACCCCTTCCCTCAGCCCCCACAGCAGTCTTACTATCCACAGCAGTAATATATCTGCCCAGAAGCTCAGCTGGTTCAGTTCGAAGGGAAAGAAATACCAAACCTGCAATAAGTATACTAAACTCTATGCTCTGGTTAATATAATATACTCTACTGAACGTGGTGTATAATTTTTGTCGGCAGTGAAAAGCTGAAAGCTGTGCTCCAGTTTCACATTTGATCGCACATGTGAGATTTGCTGCTGTTGCAGTATAAACACTAGGTATAATAGGTTTTGAAATAAATTACGTTACCATTCATAAAAGTTGAAAATGAGAAATTAAACCTGCAAGTGAAACAATTGAAACTATTCTTCTTTCTATATAAGATATGGTTGGGATGTCGGATACTTATATGATATTTTAAGTACTGATATTCAGGAATACTAAGTTTTCTTTCTCTTTCAGTTTATTGATTTGGTTTGATTTCCATTTATGCTATTTTGAGTAATCAAGGCATTGTAAATCTTATAATTTAAAAATAAATTACTTACGAACAGTTGTTATCGTTATGTTTTGTCATTATTCTCATGACTGTCTAATGTCTTTCCAGTATTAGTCTCTCATTTTTTATGTACATAAGTTAAACAGATACTGTGCTGAAGTGCATGAGTAGTGTAAGTTAATAGTCAGGCTCAAGGCAAACCAAAAGAATAGTACCATAATTTATCTTTCTATGCTGATTATGAATGTTTGACATTTCTTTTAAAAAGTCTTAAAATGTGGACGATACACACAATTGCTACCAAAGATTCTTCAAATAAATATACAAATATGTATATTTAATGTTTTATTGTTAGCTTCTCCAAGAAATTGATACAAATTCTGGTAATACTTCCTTTAATTTTCATTTTTTTCTCATAATCACGGTTAAAATAAATACATGTCATTGACAATACTGTCTAATGTAATGGAATTGTTTGAAGAAAATTAAGCTGTACTTGTCTTTTCCTTTCTTCCACCTAACTGTCATAACTTACTAACATTTAATGCACAATGTGTATGAATAGATCTAAGCCCTTTCATTTTTATGCTACTAAAAGATTGGACTATTTTATAATTCAGGGAGCATGCAAAACAATTGTTTGGGAACATATGCTGATTCTGGAATAGGCTGTGATTTTAACAGTAATTGCTGCTGTTAGCGTATCTAATCACTGTATAAACCTCAGTAAAAATAATGAAGACATGCATCATGGAATGAGATAACGAGAAAGTAGTGAGTTATCTAACATCACAGTGGGATCTGTTCTGTGTGAACTACATTTGTGAACACATTAGGCATATGAGCAGATTGTCAATGAATCCATTTTTGTTTATTTTTTGAGTTTTAATCCCGGCCTGTTCTTTCATTATTGTTTCATTTCAGTGATACTGTTACTTGAGCCACTGTTGTTTTCTTTGACGGTTTGGATTTATATATATTTTAAATGTTTGACTGAAGGTATGATTGTAAAAGGGAGTAATTGGTTTAAAAATACGTGTATATTTTTAGAAAAATCTTATTTTGTTGTATGTAGAAAACTTGAAGGCATGTTACTTCAATATAAATGATCTTTGATTATGTGGAATATTGAAATTAATTTAAAGTCCAGTAGTTAAATCTTGGCAACAATGCTTTTCTACATATTGCTAAGTTTTAATAATACGGATTCATCGAAGTATGACATGGTCTTATTTGACTTCTGTATAAATGGCATTTAAGTTCTACATTCTTACTATTCACCTTATCATATACTAACATAAGAAACTCAGTTTGGGATATTCCAAATTGCTAGTTTATAATTCTTACTAATGCAGAAAAGAATAAAACAAAACTGGCCTGAATATTCTCTTGGGGAAAGAGGGCACTAAAGAAAAGGGTAAGTGCATCGGAGGGCCGAAAGAGAAGTTCTAAGGCCATTTAGCCCATTCCCCATGGTAAGCTAGGCCTGCTCCTAGAGAGCTAAAGGAGATCACTTAGAAGCTCTAGGGAAGGAGTTCCATGGCTGCCTGTGACAGCCTCTCTTAGCATGTCTGACTCCTCAACTCTGCTAGCAAAACCTTTTTGATGCAGAAGTCCAGACCCATTCCCTCTTGTCAGTTCGCTCACCCTTTAGGTAGTTGAGGATACTTTTTTTGGGTAACCCATGTCTAGGTACAAATGACCAAGTTTCCACAGCACTTCATTGTTGGGCCTATCTTGATAGGCATATCTAGTTTTGAAAAGATGGCTCATGGAGGGAAGCTTTCTTTATGTTATTTTATATTCTTGTTAAGGAGCTCTGGTGGTGCCATGGTTAAGCACTTGGCTGCTAACTGTAAGGTCAGCAGTTCGAACCCACCAGTTGCTCCATGGAGGAAAGATGAGACAGTCTGTTTCCATAAGCCCCATGGACAGTTCTACTCTGCCCTATATGGTCACCGAGAGTGGAATTGACTTCTCAGCAATTTTTTTTTTCCTGTAAAGGAGAAAAAGCCCTCGCTGAGATAGTTTGTTACTGAACTTGTGTATTCTTTACTTAGCTTTCTATCTAACACAAATACCCAAAACAAGTTGTTATGCATGGTGCTATTTATTTGGAGGTAGGAGGAAGGTGTCACTCTGGTTCAGGTATATTGTGTACATGTTTATAGTTAGTTTTTGATTATCTTCCTAAAGAAAGGAAACTATTCCCAGACCTTTTATGTTGGGTCTTGGAATACAATTTTAAAATAGATTATACATCAAGGAATGGAACTCTGCATAGAGGCCCTAGTTGGTAATGAGGAAGATACTGTCCAGCTTCTCGTATTCCATATTCTTGGTGGGAAACAGATGGGCCTCACTTCTCAGTCTGGTGTAAAGTGCTGTTCTAAAGAGAGCTACTCCTTTGCCCCTTATTTTTAATTTCTTAGTTAGGAAAAATAGTACGTTGCTGCAAGCCAGCCAATCTTTATTAAATATCCCTGAACCTCTGTTCCCAGCTTCTTTCAATTATTATTTCCTCCTACAAATCTAAATAGAGAAAAAAAGGATGAGATTCATGGAGCCATGTATCCTTAACGCTTCATCTCAGTTAGCCTTTTCAGTTACATTTAAAAAAATGTTTCCACTAGAGGTTTACAGTTTGCAAAAGTGCTTTCTACACATTTCTAATTTTGTAAATGTAATAAAATAAAATTTGTTAAGTAGATTTCAGTTTGCTAATGAGGAAATTTTTTCTTTTCAGGTCAGTATATCTTGAATCTTGCTATAAAATGTAGTGGCATCTCATTTTTAAAACTTGCAATTATCAATTATTAGTTGATTCACAGTGCAGATCAGGATTACAAAGTAGGAAACAATGCTATAGTGTTATAACTGCTGGTTTAAAAATAGACTTTAGAAATAAGTGGTTGATTATAAGATATACATGAAAAAGTAAAGAAGGAGAAATTATATTTTTAAAGAAAAGAGAATATTCAGGCTTTATTTCTGGTATGAAGTTTATATTTTTTAAAAAATCCTATATTATCACACCAGAGATTTTAGATTCTTTTCTGGTTACAAACATTGCTGGTAGTTGGATTATATTTTTACTGTATTCATTTCTCTTAGGGGGAAAATTGTAAAGAAAAAGGTTCCAGATGAATGTATCCTAGAAATAAAAGTTGAAGATTCTTACTTCCTTGGAGTATGAATTCTTATTTTAAGTGTTTATCCTTAGCTTTATAAGTTTCCAAAATTTCTTTGAAAAATGTTTGTTGGGAAAGAAAATACCCATTTTAACTAACTGCATGCAACTATTTAAGGAAGACAACTTGTGTAAATGTTTTCTTAATAGCTGTCAGCCTATAATTTAATCGTATGGATAGACTGGTTTTCATTCCTTTAAGATTTGATCCAATCTTTCAGATGAATAATCCTCTTCAAGTGCCTTTTTTTTTAAATTACTGAAAATGATCAGGAAGATTACCATCATACTCAGTCGATCAGGAAGGGGAGGGGGATGGTGAAACGTGTTCATCTTTTTTAGACATTCATGTATTTTTTTTTCTTCCTCAAAAAAAAAAAAAAACTGCCATAGAGTTGGATCTGATTCATAGCAACCCCTCCTTGGGTTTCGAGGCAGTATTGCTACGGAAGTAGATTACTCAACCTTCCTTTCTCCCATATTTAGGTCACATGTAACTGCTTTATTATGTAGCTGATAATACTCAAGTTTTACTAGAAAATATGTTGATTTTGTGTATCTGTCAAGTCTGTTGAATGAATGCGCTTCAGGAAATGAGTCAATAGTCTGATAATTCCTTTTATATACTAACTATAACAATTGAGCATAGTTCAGTATCTTTTTGGTGTTCATTTGTCTGGCATCTGGGTTGGAGAGTGTAAAGGATTAAGTGAGGGATTTGGGAACCAGATGAACAGGATAACAGACCAGTGGGACCCAAGGGACCATCCCTGGAATTTGGGTTCTGCTGAAGCCTAAATGGAGGGCGTCTGTGAAGCTGTGCTTACTTACACTGCTTGGGAATGACTTACCAGCAGATATGAGCAGCCCTTGGGAATTTTAAGAACTCCAGCGCCTGTGCCAGACTGCAGGCCACAGCCAACCAGATGTAGGTGGCACAAGCACTTGGTCTGCCTTTTCTCCTTGTTGGCACTCCTGCTTTCAGGAGACCCTGATTTCCCTGAATTCTGTGGCCCTCATAGACTTTCTTAAGAGTTGCCTAAGTTCCGTGCAACTAATGAAGCAAGTGATACAGGTGGATAAGGTAAACTCTCCTGTTAACCATTATGTCTTTTAAGTTCTATATTTTCAACTGATTCAGGCTTTGCATATTTTGAAGCCGTTCCACTCAAATTCATATCAGTTACATCTTTACTGTGAACATGAGATGACCTTTTTTCTATTCTGTTTGCCCCTTGTAATATATTTTGTTACTAATATCACCACCCTTTTTGTTTACATTAGCAGATTCTCTAATTTTTACTAAGTGTACCTTGGTTTTAGATATTTAGATTTGGTTATTTGATCTAATCTGATTTTTTAAAATGATAATCTAACAAATTTAACCAATTTGTAATTTTGTTAAAACTGTATGTGATATTTTGCCGTTTGTCTGATATAAACCTTTTGTGCTTTCTATTTCCTTTTCTTGTCGTTTGTTGCTCTGCTTGATTATGTTTTCTAATGATTTGGAACAATTTTTGAGAGCATTAGTAGACTATTTTCTTTCCACCTATCCTGGGCCAAATCTTTAGTCTTTAAAGTTGTGTCATTATTTTTACATTATGCATCTCTGATTGTAATTGTTGACTTTGCATTCAGTTTTACATTACTCACCTTATAAAAACTATTTAAACAGAGTCTCTTATAACACAGGAAGAGCTGGCCCTCTTTTCCCTTCCCAGGGTGGCCTTTGAACATTTAGGAGGTTAGGTCTTGTCTGTTTTCCATCCATCTTCCTCTGCCCCTCCAGCTTTTTGGGCTTCTCTGTTGACAGTTAGCAGCTATGATTCCAGATAAGGGTCCAGCAGGTCAACACTGCCTTTCTCCACTGGAGCCTGGAAGAAGGGATGAAGAAGAACTGTCAGCCTTACCAGCCCTACCACAGTAGACTTGACAGCATTATATATTCCTTTTTTAAAATTCATTTACTTACAGGTAATACAAGCATATGGTACAAAATTCAAAAGATACAAAAAGGTGTGTGGTAGGAAGTATCCGTCTTTTCCTCTCCCCCTCCAATGACCTAGACTGCCTCATTGGAGACTTTGTGTTACCAGCTCCCACAGAGCTCGATTGTGTTTATGTTTTTCATCTCCCTCAAGCAGGTGGGTTGTGACCTGTGGAAGGGATACTGTGGATTGTGACAGTTGATCTAAAACCAAAATCTGCCCTGGATTCTTTCACAGAGGCCAAGGACTGCATTTTTAGCTGGAGACCTCTG